TTCTCTTTGACTCTTCCTGGTTTAGGTATCAACACCATATTTGTATCATAAAAAGAATTTGGTAAGACTCCTTCTTCACCTTTTCCCAAATAGTCTATATAGTATTGGAATTAATTGTTCTTTAAATGTTTGATAGAATTCATGTAAATCCATCTGGCCCTGGAGATTTTTTCCTAGGGAGTTCATCAATGGCTTGTTCAATTTCTTTTTCTGAGTTGTGGTTATTTAAGTATTTTACTTCCTCTTCTGTTAATCTGGGCAATTTATATTTTTGTAAATATGTATCCATTTCACTAAGATTGTCAAATTTGTTGGCATATAGTTGGGCAAAATAATTCCTAATTATTGTTTTAATTTCCTCTTCCTTGGTGGTAGCTTCACCCTTTTCATTCTTGATACTAGTAATTTGGTTTTCTTCTTTCTTTTTTTTTTTAAATTTAATTAATGAAATTAATTAAATTAACAACAGGTTTATCTATTTTATTGGGTTTTTTCATAAAACCGGCTCTTAGTTTTATTTATTAGTTCAATAGTTTTCTTAATTTCAATTTTATTAATTTTTCCTTTGGTTTTCAATATTTCTAATTTGGTGTTTAATTGAGGATTTTTAATTTGTTCTTTTTCTGGTTTTTTTAGTTGTATGCCCAATTCATTAATCTCCTCTTTTTCTATTTTATTTATGTAAGCATTTAGAGATATAAAACTTCCCCTAAGAACTGCTTTGCTGCATCCCATAGTTTTGGTATGTTGTCTCATTATTGTCATTCTCTTGAATGAAATTATTGATTGTTTCTATGATTTTTGTTTGACCCAATCATTTTTAGGATTAGATTATTTAGTTTCCAATTATTTTTAGTCTATCTTTCCATGGCCCTTTATTACATATAATTTTTATTGCATCATGATCTGAAAAGGATGCATTTAATATTTCTGCCTTTCTGCATTGGATTGTGAGGTTTTTTATGCCCTAGTACATGGTCAATTTTTGTGTATGTGCCATGTACTGAGAAAAAAAGTATATTCCTTTCTATCCCCATTCAGTTTTCTCCAGAGGTCTATCATACCTAACTTTTCTAATGTTCTATTCACCTCCTTAACTTCTTTCTTGTTTATTTTGTGGTTAGATTTATCTAGTGCAGAGAGGGATAGGTTCAGGTCCCCCACTAGTATAGTTTTGCTGTCTATTTCTTCCTGTAACTCCCTGAACTTCTTCTAAGAATTTGGATGCTATACCATTTGGTGCATATATGTTTAGTAATGATATTACTTCATTGTCTATGGTGCCTTTTAGGATGTAGTTTCCTTCCTTATCTTTTGATAAGATCTATTTTTGCTTTTGCTTTGCCTGAGATTGGGATTGCTATGCCCACTTTTTTTACTTCAGCTGAAGCATAATATATTCTGCTCCAGCCTTTTACCTTTACCCTGTATGTGTCACTCTTTTTCAAATGTGTTTCCTGTAAACAACATATTGTAGGATTATGGTTTTTAATCCATTCTGCAATCCTGTTCCGTTTTATGGGAGAGTTCATCCCATTCACATTCACAGTTATGATTACTATCTGTGTCTTTTCTCCATCCTTTCCCCCATTTATGCTTTTCTTTCTTTTTCCCCCCCTTCACTAGTGTTTTGTTTTTGACCACCGCCTCCCTCAGTACCTCCTCCCTTCTATTAGCCCTTTCTCTTTTATTCTTCTTTACCCTTACTACTACTTCCCTCCCTTCTTTCACCCCTCCCTTTTCTTTCCCCTTTTCCCTCCTACTGCCTATAGGGCAAGTTAGATTTCTATACCTAACTGATTATGTTATGCCCTTCTTGAGCCAAATCTGATGAGAGTAAGGTTCAAACAATGCTCCCTCCCTTCTTTCCCTCTGCTGTAATAGGATTTTGTGTCTTTTCCTGTAATGTAATTTACCCTTGTCTGCCTCCTCCTTTCTCAGTACATTTTCTAGATCAGATTAATCCACTTACTTGGATCCATTTAACCCACTTGATTAGATTTTTTTTATCATTACATCAAAGTCAACTTATATTCACCCCTTTATGTATGCCCATTGAGCTTAGTGTAATAACAGTACAGTTCTCAAGAGTTGCAAGTGTCATCTTCCCTTGTGGGGATGTAAACAGTTTGCCCACGTTAACACATGTTATATTTTTCTGTACTGTTTACCTTTTTATGTCTCTCTTGAGTCTTATATTCGAAATCAAATTTTCTGTTGAGCTCTGGTCTTTTTATCAGGAATGTTTGGAAGTCCCCTATTTCATTGAATATCCATCTCCTCCCCTGAAAGATTATGCTCATTTTCACTGGGTAGTTGATCCTTGGTTGCCTTACAAAACATCATGTTCCATGCCTAGAGTGTTTTAACGTAGAAGCTGCAAGGTCCTGTGTAATCCTGACTGTGGTTCCATGATATCAAATTGTTTCTTTCTGACTGCTTGCAGTATTTTCTCTTTGACCTGGTAATTTTGGAATTTGGCTGCTATATTCCTTGGAATTTTCAATTTGGGATCTCTTTGTGGAGGTGATCGGTGGATTCTTTCTATGGTGATTTTACCGGTCTGGTTCTAGGACCTCAGGGCAGTTTTCCTTTATGATTTCCTGAAAGATACTGTCCAGGCTCCTTTTTTTCATTGTGATTTTCAGATAGACCAAGAATTTTTAAATTGTCTCTCCTGGGTTGATTTTTCAGGTCAGTTGTTTTACCAACAAGGTATTTTATGTTTTCATCTATTTTTTCATTCTTTTGTTTCTGTTTAACTGATTCTTGCTCTCTCATAGAGTCATTAGCTTCCATTTGCCCAAATCTAATTTTTAACAAATTGTTTTCTTGTATTAGATTTTGTATCTCCTTCCCCATTTGGGGCAATTGTATTTTTTAAGGACTTGTTTTCTATAGTTAATTTTTGTCCTTTTTCCAAACTACTGCCTCTCTCTTGCATACCTCTCATTTTTTCCTCTACCTCTCTCATTTGACTTTTAAAATTCTTCTCGAGATCTTCTAAGAAGGCTTTTTAGGCTTCAGACCAGTTCATATTTCCTTTTAAGTTTCCAGATGTGGGTTTGTTGACAATGTTATCTTCTTCAGAATTTCTCCCTGAATCTTCACTGTTCTCATAATATGAATCTATCATATGTTTCTTTTTGTTCATGGTGTTTGCTCATTTTAAAGAGATTGAGCTCTCCTGCTGGGGAACAGAGGGCTTCTTGTGTTGGGAGACTTATGGCCTTGTCACTAGCTTTATATGCTGGGGCCTCTGATGTTGGCAATTGGAGGCTGTAGGGTTCTGGCAGCTTACCTGGTGTTGGGCTGGAATCAGCAAGGCTGGAACTCTAGGGGTAGGATTGGGTAGTCTGGCCCCTGGAGTTTGCCTGCTTTCCCTCTCCTTTCACTTTCTTTAGCTCCTTTCAGGTTGATGTTGCAGAATGTCTATCCACCTTGGGCCCCTTGGAGCTCTTCACAGAGTTTTGCTGAGGCACAGGGAGACTGTTGCAGAATGCCGAGGCACCTGTTGGTTTCTGAGCCGGTTTCCACTGGTTCTCCTGCCCTCACTGAGGCACTTAGGGGTCCAGGTGTCGGTTTTTTCCTGCTTCACCACCTGAGTTTTCTGGATCTCCTCCTGACATGCTGAGGTGGGGCTTTATTCTAGCTTGCTGGAAGACCTCTCGTCTGTACTGCTCTCCTTTTCCCAGGGCAAGAGGAGCCTTTCCTGTTAATCCCTCAATCTACCTGGGCTACTGGAGTGCTGCACCCTGTCTTTCTTCTGGTTCAGCTATTTCAGGGTTTTTCCTGGAGCAATATTTTTTGGGCTTTCAGAGGTTGGTAAGGGTGGGTAAGAGTGACTTACTTCTTACTCCTCCACCTTGGCTCCTGCAAGCCTCATCCTTCATTCTTGAATGTATCCTATCTTTTAAGGAATACCATGAGCAATTCCCCCGAGGCCACATGGAGTCAGCAGCATATTGTTTTTGGCATCCCTCCACCACCAATGCCAATAAAGTGGTATTATTATTACCAGCAACAGGGGCAGTAGTGGCATGTTCTCTAACAGCTTGTTGGACAAAGGGTTTGGTGCTCAGGGATGCAAACATAACACAGCCTACAATATATATCCAAATCCCTGCGGGTCCACTATCACTGATTCATACCACCCATGAAATCAAGGGTTTGTGAGGTTTTTGAGAAAAACAGGCAATGATATCTGTAATTTCTTGTTGAGTAAAATCCTTAGTTACCTCTTAAAAAACCCGATTTCCTCCCTGATTTTCCTCCTTTCATCTCCTGTTAGGCCTAGCAGATACCCCATTGTCAGGGTATTTCTCCTCATGTCTCTTCCAAGCTTCTTCATCTAAAGTAATCTACTCTTCAGTTTCATCCCATATATTTCCATCTCATCTATCTGAGACCGAGTCCACAATAGTGGTGGCAATAACTGCATGCACTATCTTTTTATTAATTTTCCCCTTCCTTTTCTTATACCTGTGCTACTCTAACTGCAGCTTTTTCAGCCACACTTTGGTAATTTCTCACTTGGTGTCCTAAAATGTAAAGTTCTGACATTGAAGTACAGACACTTTACTCTGTAATTTAAATAATTCCTTTTCAAGGATCACTTTATCTTCAACAGCTTTATTTCTTAATTCATGCATTTTTCGACACGTAGTCAGCAAAACCCATCCTGTTCTACACACTCCCACCATCTCTTTGTCTTTCTCAATAGGAATACTTTGTAAGCAATTTGTCACTTGTAAAGGTTCCCCTTGTTTAACCAAGGTACCCAATCATCACAGAGGCCTGGCTCGTTAGCCCATTCTTTTAGCCAGAGAGACATGAGACTAATCTTTCCAACTGGGAATGTACTGATCTTTAAGCTTAGTTCTAGTATTTCTAGTTAGGAATGGCATATTGTATAGCGATTCCTATTACTGACAGCAATTTGTATGATTAAGGAAGAAAAATGTGCTTCAAATTTGCTCCTACAATAAGACACACTCCTAGAAAGAGCAGTGAAGGTAGCTTTAATTAAGATTATAATACAAGTAGAGAAAAACTAGATTTACAGCAACATACACTTAACAATATGACTATAACCAAGCTAAGAATACGAAGGATAGCAATAATATAAGAAAACATCACCACTTCAGGGAAGCACCAACACTCTCACTACAAGCTGGAGATATTCGGGGGTATAGATTTCAGAGTCCAATTGGGAAAGTCCCAGGAAGAGTGTCCAAACCATGGGTGAGAATGTAAAGACTGCATTCTCAATTAGAATTTAAATGGAGACTCTAACAAAAAAAGTTCCTGGAGGAATAAAACCATGTGAGAATATGAATAAACTTGACATGTTCCAATGAACTAGCCAGGTTCCCAGAACATATACTTTCCTGAGAAATGATTAAATTCTGAGGGCAACATGGAAAACCATACTCTGGATTAGACCCCACTGCTCAGAGTTATACAGGGGACATGGTTTCTGACATTGCTTCCAATTCTTCTATACAACATAATAAAAGGGAAAGGATGTTTAACATGAAGGTATATGCAGAGCTCATATCACATAGCACACAGTCTTGGGCTGTGGGGAGGAGAGGAATTCAGAGAAAATTTGGAAAACAAAATCTTATGGAATCGAAAGTTGAATTCTAAAAACTAAAAAAAAATACATTTTCAACACAAGCTGCCTTCAACATGCAGTTCAATACAAGAAACTTTGTCAGACTGCAGGATATCCATAACATGCATAAAGGCCACTGGGCAAAGCCTAATACAATCACCCATGACCATACTTGGAGGCCAGAGGGCCTGTCTTTGTCATTTCTGGAAATATGGAGCCTTGTCAAGGAATACCTCTCTTGGCTTAAGGCTATCAAAGGAGTGGTTGAAACTCTTTCCATCTAGAAGGTTCTCTACTGTGAGGCTGGCTGACATTGGGCTTCCTGAGATGACATGGAATTGCTTCCAGGTACATGGAAGGATGCAGAGCAAGACCTGCAAAGATTTCACTTTCCTAACATCACAGGACAACTCTACATGCCCTGAGCACAAGCCCACTTCCTTGCCCACACCTGTGGGTACTGGCCATTCCAATGAATCTCTCCATGGCCTAGGAAGTAAAGAGCTTGCATGGCAGAAACTGGGCTTCAATCCCAGTGCGGAAGTAAAGCCGTTGTGCCAGAATGGGTGAGGAAATGACAGCCCCTCATTCTCCTGGGCTTCACATGCTTGGGACACCAGAGCAATACAAGATTTCCAGCTCCAAATACAACTTCTCTGCCATGTTAGCCATCACCCACTGAGATGTTAGAAAGGTGGGCCGTGCACTGAAGAACATTTGTGCATTGCAATCCCCAGAAGGATGTGAGCCAAGGGCCATATCAAGGAGAGCCTGCAGATAGGAGGCAAGGGAACAAAGGGTCATCAGGAACAATGTGGTAACTTTCTCAGGAAATGCATGTGAAAATATCTACATCATTTCAATCCATTTCTTCCTCAGATGGCCCAATGAAAACTCCACATAGCTTTCCTTCTCCCAGAAGGGCACCTCCTGCACAATGAAACCCTCAAACACCACAGAAGAAATGCCTCTGGCAGGTAAAGGAGCCCAAAGGTAATCCCATTTGATCCAGTCCTTCACTCTTCCCAAATCTTAATTCTTCCCTGTAATGGAGTGGGCATTTCCCTTCTCTCCTATCTGCTATTTCACAGCCTGGAAAAATGCCAATGGCGGTACACTACCCAAATATGGGTCATTGGCACACCCATGTGTCTGCTCTGCCTCCTGGCCAATCCCGATTTGCAGACCATCTATCCAAGCAGTCTTCTATCACACACTGAGCTCAAATCCTACAAAGGAAGCTCCTCCAAATTGCTCAGTTACTGCAATAGTCCTGCGGAGTCACATCAGATGTGTGCAGAGCCATAAATTCAAGGGCACCCACATGGCTCCCCATTGAGAAATGTGACATCTTGCCCTCCCCAACATGAAAAAGGTGGCCTTTTTGGAACCAAGGCTGAGGAAAAGTGTTCCTGCTCACTCAAGCCACACAGAGCAAGACCAGCAAAAAGAATGCAAGGGAGGATTCCAACCAACATTCTGGATCCAAGCACTTTGACTACTCTGCTTTCTCTATTTTCTACTCATCACCATCTAAGCAGAGTCAAGGCTAGGTGGGAGACAAGGTTCTGAAATGCCATTGCATCTGATACTTACATTCTTCAAGGAGGCAGCCTCCACTGGGAAATCAGGTCCCATTCTGCACTTGAAAACCTTCCTGGAAAGCCTATGGGAAAAGCACACTTGATCGATGGGGCATTGCTTCCCACAAAGAGATATTTGGTTTCCTGTGGCATAATCAATATTGGTATGAAAGGGAGAGCCCTCCCTTCTTGGGTACCTGCTCTCCCAGAATGGCAGGACTTCAATTCTAACTAAGAAAATTTGACAGAGGCTTTGAGGAGGAGGCTGGGGCCTTCCCCTCAACAAGATGTTTCATGCCACGTGGGACAAAGAAGGAAAAACGGCAAATATGATCACTTACTAGAGACAAGGAGGGGGCCTTGACCACACGTGCTTGGATCCTATTGTCTGGCAGTTGTCCTCCATCCACCTGCCACACACTTGGAATCCACCCAAACCATATGGTAGCGGGAAGATGAGACAAATGAACTGCATTGAATGGTGAGTGAGCTGCCTTTGGCCTTCAGGAAAACCTGCAGAGATTTACAGGAATGGAAGCTGAGTGAAGTGAGCAGAACCAGGAGAGCATTGTACATATTCCCAGCAACATGGGGCCATGACTAACTTCCATGGGCTTACCTCTTTTTAGCAATGGAAGCATCTAAGGCAACTCCACAAAGCTCGTGATGGAAAATGCTATCCATAACGAGAAAAACAACCATGGAATATGAAGGATGATGGCAGCATACAATTGGACCTCTCACTCTCTCTCTCTGTCTTCCTTGATCTCTCTCTTATTTTCTTTCTTTTTTTGCCGTGGTTCCTCCCATTGCTTCCAATTTTCCTTGACAACATGATCAACGGGAAAGGACGTTTAACGTGAAGGTACACATAGAGCCCATATGAGATTGCACATCATCTTGGGCTGCGGAGAGGAGAGGAATTCAGAGAAAATTTGGAAAACAAAATCTTATGGAATCGAAAGTTGAATTCTAAAAACTAAAAAAAAAAAATACATTTTCAACACAAGCTGCCTTCAACATGCAGTTCAATACAGGAAACTTTGTCAGACTGCAGGATATCCATAACATGCATAAAGGCCACTGGGCAAAGCCTAATACAATCACCCATGACCATACTTGGAGGCCAGAGGGCCTGTCTTTGTCATTTCTGGAAATATGGAGCCTTGTCAAGGAATACCTCTCTTGGCTTAAGGCTATCAAAGGAGTGGTTGAAACTCTTTCCATCTAGAAGGTTCTCTACTGTGAGGCTGGCTGACATTGGGCTTCCTGAGATGACATGGAATTGCTTCCAGGTACATGGAAGGATGCAGAGCAAGACCTGCAAAGATTTCACTTTCCTAACATCACAGGACAACTCTACATGCCCTGAGCACAAGCCCACTTCCTTGCCCACACCTGTGGGTTCTGGCTGTTCCACTGAATCTCTCCATGGCCTAGGAAGTAAAGAGCTTGCATGGCAGAAACTGGGCTTCAATCCCAGTGCGGAAGTGAAGCCGTTGTGCCAGAATGGGTGAGGAAATGACAGCCCCTCATTCTCCTGGGCTTCACATGCTTGGGACACCAGAGCAATACAAGATTTCCAGCTCCAAATACAACTTCTCTGCCATGTTAGCCATCACCCACTGAGATGTTAGAAAGGTGGGCCATGCACTGAAGAACATTTGTGCATTGCAATCCCCGGAAGGATGTGAGCCAAGGGCTATATCAAGGAGAGCCTGCAGATAGGAGGCAAGGGAACAAAGGGTCATCAGGAACAATGTGGTAACTTTCTCAGGAAATGCATGTGAAAATATCTACATCATTTCAATCCATTTCTTCCTCAGATGGCCCAATGGAAAATCCTCATAGCTTTCCTTCTCCCAGAAGGGCACCTCCTGCACAATGAAACCCTCGAACACCACAGAAGAAATGCCTCTGGCAGGTAAAGGAGCCCGAAGGTAATCTCATTTGATTCAGTCCTTCACTCTTCCCAAATCTTAATTCTTAAGTCCTCCAATTCCGGAAGCCAAGATGGCGGAGTAAAAAATTAGTTGCTCTTACCCTCCCCTATCAACCTCTGAAAACCTTGAAAATATTATGCCAGAAAACAAAACAAAACAAACAAAAACCTGGAACAGCTGAACTAGAAGAAAAATGGGGAACAGCAGTGCAGCTGCCTAGCAAACGGGTCTCCCAGTGCCTCAGCAAAAATAAGGGAAGCAGCACTAGAAAGGGTCCCAGGTGGATAAGCACCCCGCAGCATTCATCTGAAAGGAGGTGAAGAAAGCAACCTAGAGTCTTCCTAAAGTTCCAGCCTTGCTGATTCCAACCCAACACCAGGTAAGCTTTCAGAACCCTATAGTCTCCAACTGTCAAATAGGAAGAGATCCTGAAGCCCAGGTGGTAGAATAGACAAACACCAACACCTAGACCTCCAAGTACCTCAGTGAGGGCAGGGGAACCAGTGGAAATCAGCTCAGAAAACCACCATGTGCCTCAACACTCTACTGCAAAGGAATCTCCCAGTGCAGTAGCAGAAAGAGGGAGGCAGCACTGCAAGGGGCCCCAGGCAGATAAGCACCCTGTAGCATCCATCTAAAAGGAGCTGAAGAAAGCAAATGGAAAGGAAAAGCAGGCTACCCAGAATTGCCTGAAAGTTCCAGCCTTGCTGATTCCAGCCCAACACGAGGGAAGCTTTCAAAACCCTACAGCCTCCAATTGCCAACATAAGAGGCCCCAGCACACAAAGCCAGTGACCAAGACCTAGGCTCCCAACACAAGAAGCTTGGGTCAGTGCCCTCTGTTCCCCAGCAGGAGAGCTCAATCTCTTTAAAGGCCAGCGAATAAAGACAGCATGAGTAAAAAGAAACCTATCATTATTAGAAGAGTGAAGATCAAGACAGAAATTCTGAAGAGGACAACATTGTCAACAAACCCACACCTGCCACATCAGAAGGGAATATGAACTGGTCTGCAGCCCAAAAAGCCTTATTAGAAGAGCTCAAGAAGGAATTTAAAAGTCTAATGAGAGAGGTAGAAGAGTCCTTAAAAAATACAAATGGCCAATTGAAGAAAGAAGTACAAAAACTAACAGAACAAAACAATCTGTTAAAAACTAGAAATGGAAACTAACGACTCTATGAGAGAGCAAGAATCAGTCAAACAGAAACAAAAAAATGAAAAAATAGATGAAAACATACAATACCTCATCGGTAAAAAAATCTACCTGGAAAATTAATTCCAGAGAGACAATTTTAAAATTATTGGACTACCCAAAAGTCATGATGAAAAAAAGAGCCTGGATAGTATCTTTCAGGCAATCACAAAGGAAAAACTACCCTGAAATACTGAAACCAGAAGGAAAAATAACCATAGAAAGAATACAGGGCTTACCACCTGAAAGAGATCCCAAATTGAAAATGCCAAGCAACATAATAGCAAAATTCCAAAATTACCAGATGAAAGAGAAGGTGCTGTAAGCAGCCAGAAAGAGACAATTTAAATATCATAGAACCACAGTCCAGATTAAACAGGACCTTGCAGCTTCTACATTAAAAGCCTGCAGGGCCTGGAACATGATATTTCAGAAGGCAAAGGAGCTTGGATTGCAGCCAAGGATCAACTACCCAGCAAAAATGAGCATGATTTTTCAAAGGAGGAGATGGATATTCAACGAAATAGGAGACTTCCAAACCTTCCTGCTAAAAAGACCAGAGCTCAACAAAAAATTTGATCTTCAAGTACAAGATTCAAGAAAGACATAAAAAGGAAAATGGGACAGAACAATACAAAATGTTGTTAATAAGGGCAGACTGTTTACATCCCTACAAGGAAAGATGACATTTGCAACTCTTGAGAACTGTATTGTCATAACACCATGTTAAAGGAGTACACATTAAGAGGGTGAATATTAGCTGACTTTGATGTGATGATAAAAAAAATCTAATCAAGTGGGTTAAATGGATCCAAATAAGTGGATTAATCTGATCTTAGAAAATGTACTGAGAAAGGAGGAGGCAGACAAGGGTAAATTACATTGCAGAAAAAGACACAAAACCTATTACAGCAGAGGAAAGAAGGAGGGGGTGAACATTGTTTGAACCTTATTCTCATCAGATTTGGCTCAAGAAGGGAATAACATAATCAATTAGGTATAGAAATCTGACTTGCCCCATAGGCAGTAGGAGGGAAAAAGGGAAAGAAAAGGTGGGGGGGGATAGAAGGGAGGGTAAAGTAAGGGTAAAGGGGAAGGAAAAGGAAAGGGATAACAGAAGGGAGGAGGGACTGAAGGAGGCAGTAGTCAAAAGTAAAACACTAATGTTGGGAAGGAAGGACAAAAGAGAAAGAAAAACAAACTGGGGGGAAAGGATGGAGAAAAAGACACAGATAGTAATCATAACTGTGAATGTGAATGGGATGAGCTCTCCCATAAAACAGAAACAGATAGCAGAATGGATTAAAAACCAGAATCCTACAATATGTTGTTTACAGGAAACACATTTGAAAAAGAGTGACACATACAGGGTAAAGGTAAAAGGCTGGAGCAGAATAAATTATGCTTCAGCTGAAGTAAAAAAAAAAAAAAGCAGGGGTAGCAATCCTGATCTCAGACAAAGCAAAAGCAAAAATAGATCTAATCAAAAGAGATAAGGAAGGAAATTACATCCTGCTAAAAGGCACCAGAGACAATGAAGTAATATCATTACTAAACACATATGCATCAAATGTATAGCATCCAGATTCTTAGAGGAGAAGTTCAGGGAGTTACAGGAAGAAATAGACAGCAAATCTATACTAGTGGGGGACCTTAACCTCCCCCTCTCTGAACTAGATAAAATTAACCACAAAATAAACAAGAAAGAAGTGAAAGAGGTGAATAGAACATTACACAAAAATTGACCATGTACTAGGGCATAGAATCCTCATAATCCAATGCAGAAAGGCAGAAATATTAGATGCATCCTTTTCAGATCATGATGCAATAAAAATTATATGTAATAAAGGGCCATGGAAAGATAGACTAAAAAACAATTGGAAACTAAATAATCTAATCCTAAAAAATGATTGGGTCAAACAACAAATCATAGAAACAATAAATAATTTCATTCAGGAGAATGACAATAATGAGACAACATACCAAAATTTATGGGATACAGTGAAAGCAGTTCTTAGGGGAACTTTTATATTTCTAAATTCTTACATAAATAAAATAGAAAAAGAGGAGAACGATGAATTGGACATACAACTAAAAAAACTAGAAAAAGAACAAATTAAAAATCCTCAACTAAACACTAAATAAGAAATATTGAAAACCAAAGGAAAAATTAATGAAATTGAAATTAAGAAAACAATAGAACTAATAAATAAAACTAAGAGCTGGTTTTATGAAAAAAACCATTAAAATAGATAAACCTTTGGTCAATTGAATTTAAAAAAAAGAAAGAAAGAAGAAAACCAAATTACTAGTATCCAAAAAGGAAAAGGGTGAATCTGCCACCAAGGAAGAGGAAATTAAAACAATAATTAGGAATTATTTTGCCCAGCTATACGCCAACAAATTGACAATCTTAGTGAAATGGATACATATTTACAAAAATATAAATTGCTCAGATTAACAGAAGAGCAAGTAAAATACTTAAATAACCCCATCTCAGAAAAAGAAATTGAACAAGCTACTGATGAACTCCCTAGGAAAAAATCTCCAGGGCCAGATGGATTTACATGCGAATTCCATCAAACATTTAAAAAACAATTAATTCCAATACTATACAGGCTATTTGGGAAAATAGGTGAAGAAGGAGTCTTACCAAATTTTTTTTATGATACAAATATGGTGCTGATACCTAAACCAGGAAGAGTCAAAACAGAGAAAGAATGTTATAGACCAATTTTATTAACAATATGGAATGAAAAATCCTAAATAAAATACTAGCTAAGAGATTACAACAATATATTACAAAAATTATAGATTTTGACCAAGTTGGTTTCATACCAGGAATGCAGGGATGGTTTAACGTAAGTAAAACTATAAACATAGTTGATTGTATCAATGATAAAAGTAACAAAAATCATATGATAATATCAGTAGATGCAGAAAAGGCATTTGATAAAGTACAACACTCATTTCTATTAAAAAACACTTGATAGTATAGGAATAAATAGACTTTTCCCTAAACTGATAAGAAACATTTACCTAAAACCATTAACAAGCACTATTTGTAATGGAGATGCCCACTGTCAGCAATATTTTTTAATACTGTATTAGAAATTCTACCAATGCCAATAGGAAAAAAACAAGAAATAGAAGCAATCAGAATAGGGAATGAGGTAATAAAACTATCTCTTTTTGCAGATGATACACTTGGAAAATCCTAAAGACTAAACTAAGAAGTTAACTGAAATAATTAATCATTTCAGCAAAATAGGAGGATATAAAGTAAACCCACATAAATCATCAGCATTCTTATATTTCCAACAAGGTCCTACAGGAATAGATAGTTAGAGATACCCCATTTAAAATAACTTTAGACAGTATAAAATACTTGGGAATACACCTACCAAAACAAACCCAGGATCTATATAAACAAAACCAGAAAAATAAAAAAAAAAAACTTCATACACAAATAAAGTTGGGTTTAAATAAATGGAGAAATATTAATTGTTCATGAGTAGGCAGGGCCAATATAATAAAAATGGCAATTTTACTAAAATTAATCTATGTATTCAATGCCATACCAATTAAATTACCAAAAATTATTTTATGGCAGTAGAAAAAATAATAACAAAATTCATTTGGAAGAACATAAGGTCAAGAATATCACAGGAACTGCTAGTAGAAATGTAAAGGAATGAGGTTTAGTAGTACCAGATCTTAAACATTATTATAAAGCAGTAATTATCAAAACTATGTGTTACTGGATAAGAAAGAGAAAAGTAGATCAGTGGAACAGAGTAGACATACAGTCTACAGCAACAAATAAATATGGTTGCCACGTGTTTGCTAAGTGTAAGGATTTAAGTTTTTGGGATAAGGACTCATTATTTGGTAAAAAAAATTGTTGGGAAAGGTGTAAAGCGGTCTGGCAGAAATTGTGCAGAGACCAATATCTTACACCCATTTATCAAGATAAGGTCAAAATGGATATTTGACTTAGATATAAAATAGGATGTTACAAAAACATTTGAAATACATGGAATATATTATCTATCAGCCTTACGGATAGGTGAAAAATTTATGAACAAACAAGAGATAGAGAGTGTTGTGAGAGGCAAAATGGATAATTTTGATTACATTAAAATGTTTTTGTATGAATAAAACAAATGTAGCCAAGATCAGAAGGAAAGCAGAAAACTGGGGGAAAAAATTATAGACAGTTCCTCAGATAAATGTCTCATATCTCAAATATATAAAGAACTTTCTCAAATCTATAAGAATGCAAGTCATTTCAAATTGATAAATGGTCAAAGGATATAAACATGTAGTTTTCCAATGAAGAAATCAAAACAATTTATAGTTATATGGAAAAATGCTCTAAATCATTATTGATTAGAGAAATGCAAATTAAAACAATCTTGAGAAGATGATGTTGAAAACGCAGCAACTCATATGAGCTGTCCCTCAAACCCCTCTGAACACCTTTAACTAATGCCATAAAACAATTCCTGGAACAGCAGAACCCACAAAAGGATGGGGTGAAATAATTTTCCAGTCAAACACAACTTAGAAGCTCAGCAGGAAACAGGTCTGTTGCACCTGGGTGACAGTGGAACACAGTCCAGCGCAGGCTGCACCAGTGCAGATCAGGCCCCAGTAAACCCGAAGCAGGCCTTGGGAGCCACTGAATCAGCAGCAGGAGCTGCAGTAGCTGCTTCTGGAGCTCTCAGCCCACAGATGGTAAGGGGGTCAACCAATCTCAGAAGGAGATTACAGGAGTATCTTTGCTGGCACTGAGGCAGGACTCTGTTGCTTTGCCCATACTTGGATCAGGGTCTCAGTCCTGTGTGGAAGTCCCAGGGCAAGGAAAAGCACTAGCACGCCACAGCTTATGGCCACATTGGAGGGGGGACTCTCCTCACAGTTCCAGGGCAGAAAAGAGCGCTCGAGGTTGCTCAATGACCAGAGACACTCTGCTTTCCTTCCCTATGTACCACTGCCTCTTTAAGGCTTATTTACCAACAGGCACTGCCCCCAACAGATTTTGTCAATGTATGGGTCATGGGTGGTTATAAAATTAGGCCTAGTGGTCTTGACCACCATGACAGTCTCCCCTTAAGGGAGGCTCTAGCTTATATCTATGCATGGAAACCATTGTTATAAGACTAAAAATACTGACAATAATATTTTTGAAAGGTTGTTACACCTGTGGGCCACAAATAATATTTTGGCTACCACCAGATCAGTTTTCTCCCTGACATGGAAACCCCCCAAACAATACTTCTCCCTCGTGAGAAATCCCCCAAAATAGTATATTGCCCTGACCCCTGATACACAATTCAGGCAGCAACAGGGAATCCATCCAGAATCATAGTATAAGAACCTTACTCTCAGAAGAGTACTTTGGCACATCCCTTCCCCTTCAATAGGCGCATCCCTTCCTGCTAAAGCACCCTCTGCCCTCCAGCAGGAGTATATGTCTATGCTGGAGTACTCCCTTTCTGCTGAATGGACCCATGTCTCTCTGCTCCCCCATGTAGCACTGCCCATATGTAGTGTATAGTCTATGTTAGAGTACATGAATGAGTTGTAGGTTGGGCCCCCATTTTCTCTCTCCCATTACCCCTCTTCCTCATTGTTTACAATAAGCTTGACATTGAACTGACTCCTCTTGTTTTACACGTTATTCTCAGTACAAGAACTCATTAAGGGGTCATTTTCCCTGACATATCTGGCTGTTCCATGGGCCTCTCCTTAGACATAAAAGGGGTACCTGGACAAGGACCTGGCCTATTGACAGCTGCAGCTACAACGGGTGACTAGAGCACTATGAGTCCAATTGTGGAAAGCAAGGGTCAATAGGGGAACCACATGTCCTCCAGGACAGATTCCCTTATGCCAGAGGACTGTCACAAAACAATTGGAGCAACAGGCAGGACCAAAGCACTGCCAACAAAAAAAATTCCTGAACCTGATAAGATTCACAGAATTCTATCAAAATTTAAAGAAAAGTAAATATATGTACATGACAAACTATTCTCAAAAATGGAGGAAGAAAGCACCTTATCAGAATCCTATCATGATACAAAGATAGTCTTAATACCTAAACTAAGGAAAGATAAAACACAGAAAGAAAACTATAGGCCAATATCATTAACCATCACTGATTCAAAAATTTCAAACAAAATTCTATTAAACAAACTGCAGTTATTTATCTAAGAAATCACTCATTATGATAAAACAGTATCTACACCATAAAAACAAGGTTGGTTCAACATCAGAAAAACAAAAAATATGACAAATCATAATAAAAGGCGAAACACCCAAAACCACATGATCATCTCCATGGTTGCAGAAAAAGTATCTGACAAAGTGAAACATTCTTTTATGATAAAACCTCTTCAATGTATTGGCATGGAAAGACCTTTTAATATCCTAAAAAAAAGCATCTATGGAAAACCAAAGCACGCATTTTATGCAGTGAGGATACACTAGAAGCATTTCCAATAAATATGGCAATGAAGCAAGGATATCTATTCTCCCAATTATTTTTATACTTCTGGAAATGCTAGCAATAGCACTAAGAGGAAGAAATTCAAGGAATAAATATAAATAAAGAGGAGATAAAACTAAGCCATCAAAAACGTGACAATATCATCCAAATTTATTTACATTTTTAATGCTATACAAATTGAATTACCAAGGCAATACTTTATGGAACTTGATAAAATAATAACAAAATTCATTAGAAAAAACAAAATATCTAGAATAGCATGGTAAATGATTGAAAAAAAGTTAGAATGAAGAGGGAATATCACTTCCAGACCTCAAACTATATTATTAAGCAGCAGTCATCAAAATCTTCTGGTATTTGTTTTAAAAAAAAGACAGGTTATTGGAACAGATTAGACAACCGTGAATCAGAAAGAATGGAACTCAGTCCAATGCTTGATAATGTGGAAAACATAATTCACCTAGGGAAAAACTCCCTATTTGATTAAAACTGCTGGGGAAACCACAAAGCAGTCTGGCAGAAATTTTGCTTAGAACAATACCTTAGAACACACTCCACGATACATTCTAAATGGATACCCTACCTTAATATTAAAGATCACGCTATAACAAAAATTAGAAGAAAAACAGATCATATACCTCTCACAGTAATAAGTAGGAATATTCTTAACCAAGCAAGAAATAGAGGTGATTACTAAAGATAGATAACTCTGATTACTTGAAACTGAAAAGCTTATGCACAGACAATATTAATTAATCTAGAATAATAAGGGAAGTGGTCAAATAGGGGGGAATTTTCTATCAAGTTTCTCGAATATGACTTTGGTAGCCAAGATACATATGCAATTAATTAACAAATGTAAATAAGACTAATAGCCATTCACCAATAGGTAAATGGCCAAAGGTTATAAACCAACAATTCACAAAAGAAAAACTGCAAAATATTCACCATATGAAAAAACATTCCAAATCACTAATAATGAGATAAATTCAAATCAAAACAAGCTTGAGGTATCACCCTACAAATTGACCCAAAAAATGGCAACAGTCCGTGTTGGAGGAGTTATGGGAAAAGAGGCACACTAATACATTGTTGGTGGAGCTTTCCATTTTGAAAAGCAATTTGGAATCATGCAAATTAAATGATTAAAACACCCTTTGAACCAGAGACTCCATTGCTGGGCTCATACCACAAAGCAGTCATCAATGAGAGGGAAAAAAACCCCACATGTTCCAAAATATTCATAGCAGCAGTTTTTTCTGATAGCTAAGAATTGGAAACAAAATAGATGTCCATCAGCTGGGGAATGGCTAAATACACTGTGGTATGTGAATGTAGTGGGAGATGCTTGTACTGTAAGAAATGATGTGTGTGATGAATCCAGAGAAGCATGGAAAGGTAGCAGAGACAAGAAAACAATCTACACACTAAGTACATCAATGTAAATGGAAAGAACAACGACACACCAAAAAACAAAAATGTAAGTGAAATAAAACTATAAGATCAAGGAGGACTCAGAAAAAGACAGATGAGAAGACACAGCCAATCTACCTCTTCTTGGAGATGAGAGACTCACAGGTTTTACACACTGCATGTTTTCAGACTTTTTAAATATCTCGATCAGTTACATTTCTCTCCCCCTCCCCACCCCGCTTTGTCCTCTCAAAAAATACTATTTGTCATGTGAGATGGTTCTCTGGGAGAATATGTAGAAAGGATACATAGGAAACTGTGATGATGTGACAAACAGAACACGTCAATAAAAAAGAGAGATACATGGAATAAAAATGAGGGCCCAGAAAAAAAAAATTGCTATGTATTAAGTGAATCTAAAAAGGAAATATAGCAATCACACTGTCAAAGTAAAAAAACAGAAATGTAAAAACAGATAAACAAGGAAATGACATTATGCTCAAAGGAACTATAGACAATAAACAAATACCAGTAATAAACTTATATACTCCAAATCTCAACATCCAAATTAATAAAGGAAAAATGAACAGAGCCACAAGAATACACAGAGAGCAACACAATAATGGCAGGACATTTCAACATCCCTCTCTGTTTACCCAGGGGAAAATCATATCCCTACAAACATAGAAAAAAGAAGATTAACCAATTGAATATAAATTTAGAAAATTACAAAGTGAACACACAACTTTAAGCACAAAGGGGACATATTAGAAATTAGGGAAGTAAATAAATTGGAAATAAACCAAAAAATAATGAAATCTCTGCAGAAACGATAACTAAAAACTGGTTCTCTGAAAAGACTAGCAAAATCTCCCACCGTCCTGCATGCCTTGGACACCACCAGGCCCCAGGAAACTTCCTATCAGGAAACTCATCATCCCAGGGGGACTTCATCAGCTTTGGCACTCACACTGCCACAGTGCTCTCCATACCTGAGAGTGGAGGGCTGCAGAGCAAAGAACTCCCCCATTTCCAGAGGGCTCCCAGGACAGCCATCTCTTCATTTCCCACCAGCTTGCACTCTTTGGGCTGTGCTTGGGTGCCTACTTCCCCAGCCCCCTTAACCCCATCCCCAGCTTTTCAGCTCCCTTTTCAACATTATTGTCTCCCAAAACACTGCAAGCTCCTTGAGGCCAGGGACTGTCTTTTTGTTTGTTTGTTTGTTTTTTCACATCCCCAACACTGAGCACAGTGACTGGTGCATAGTACCCACTTAATGAAAACTTATTAACTGATTCACCAATCTGGTTAAATAGGCAGAAAATCAAAGCAACAAATTAGCCAAAGATCAAGGGAAAATCACAACAAAACCGGAAGAAATTAAAAGAATAATCAGTTACAGTTATACACTAAAAGCAAAAAACCAAAACTGAGAATACAAAAGAAAAAAAAAAACTTTCAAAATTACCAAATACAGAGACCAAATAAAGATCTTAAAAACCCTGTCTCAGAAAAAAAGATAGAGCTTACATTAAAAGAACTACCAAAGGGAAAAAAAAACCTCCTGGTTCTTGTGGTTTGACAGGAGAATTCTATCAAATGTTTAAAAGAACAATTAGTACTCATACTACACAAATTATTCACAAACACTGAGAAAGAAAGCACCCTACAATAATCCTTTTATGAGACAAATAGACTCCTAATATCTAACCCATGGAAGGATAAGCACAAAGAACTAGATGCCAATATCATTCATGAAAATTGATTCAACAAATGTAAGTAAAATCTGTAAAAAGACTACAGCAAATCACCCAAGAAGGCATTCATTATGACAAAGGTGGATTCATACCAGGGATAGTAAGGATGGCTCAACTTTAGGAAAACACTCAAAATAGTTAATCATAGTCAAAATGCCACTACGCCTGCAAATAATAGCTAACATGTATTAAGTGACTACAATGTTCCAGGCACTGGGTTAAGTGCTCTATAATCATTATCTCATTTAATCCTCACAACCACCCTGATAGTGAGGGGGTGCTTGGACTCCAATTTCTCCCTGGCCTCAGAAACACTATCCCTGGCAGTTTCCCCCCCAGCCCAAGGACACTGTGCCTAGTAATTACTCATGAGTGGGCCTCAGCAAAACACTTATCTCTTTCCCTGGTGCAGTTGCACAAAGCTGGGTGACAGAGTGCTGGGCTACTCAGGCTCCATCCCTCAGATCACATCTCTGGAAGCCTCCCAATTCCTTAGTAACCTCCTGTCTTGTGAGAAAACTTTTTCTTCTTGTTAATCAGGACAAAGAGAGGGGTATCTTGTCTGGTCCATGGAGTTTTTGTCCCTGGATTGACTTGTACCACCTGTAAGGATGCCTACAGTGATGAGTGTCCCCAGAACTTTACCTCTGCCAGCTGTACCACCTGTTCTGAGGGAACACTCCCTACTTGCACCTGTGACCGAATTCCTCCTGCTACTTTCCTAGTAGGTACTCCCTATTTAACCTTCTCTTCTCAGTTGGCACACAATGCTACAGCCCCCTTCTAGCTATAACACTCTTGTTAATCTTTTGAAAGTTTCTGTCTTACCTGGAATATTAGCATGTAATCATACTGATCCATGGGGCATCCATGCTCAGTACCTTTTACAAACAGGCCCCATCTGTACCCCTAAGGGATATTCCTTCCTTTGTGGGATGGGTGGGTCAGGTGGTGAGGATTCTGGGGAAGAAGTAAAATGAAATGTCACTACTTAGCACAAAGCTGGGTGAGAGAGTGCTGGGCTGCTCCCAACACTAAGACCATGTATCTGGAAGCCTTTCAATTCCTTAGTAAGCTCCTCTCTTGTGAGAAAACTTTTCCTTGTTGCTAATCAGGACAGAGAGAGGGGTATCTTGTCTGGTCCAAGGAGTTTTTGTCCCTGGCTGGCCCAGGGACTCATCCTCGTGCCAGATTCCCAAGATCCTCTGACAACTCCCTCCCTGTCTGATATACTCCCTACACTTTTCCATCCATAGCTCCCAAAGACACCTGGACCTTTAGATTACCTAATTAGTATCCCTGGCATTCCTTTCCCATGCCCTTTTTCATATAAAGCCTAGCTCCATCCTCAGTCTCTCACAGGTTCCTTAAGAATTCTTTCCAACATGTAGCGTAACAATAAATCGTTACGAACTTGACTCAAAGAACACTTGAGTCTGTGAATTTATTCCAGACAACCCCGTCCTGTAGTCTAGTCATAGAGGGGTCTCAACTTCTCAGACTGCAACAATAGGGAGGTATTATTATCCTTATTTTACAAATAAGGAAACTGAGGCAGACAGAGGTGAAGTGACTTGCCAAGTGTTACACAGCTAATGTCTGAGGCCACATTGGAACTGGAGTCTTCTGACTCCGGGTCCGGTCTACTCCTAATTCCAGCCACTTGACCCTAATTCCAAGAACTTTTATCAGCTGCCCCAAGACACAGAAAGGCTTCGTGTGGAAGATAGCCTTCATGAAGCTCGAAATTCTAGGAGGCAAGGGAAGGGAAGGAAAGGATGGAAAAAAGAAGTAAGAGAAAGAGGAGATGCAGAAGGGGAGGGGGAGGGGAAGGAGGGAGGAGGGATGGTGGAAGAGGTAAGGGAAAGAGGAGAAGGAAGGAGAACAGATGAGAAAGAGGAGTAAAAAGAGCAGGGAGGAGGGGGAGGGGAGGAGATAAGAGAAAGAAGAGTTAGGGAAGAAGAAAGAGAGGGGAGAGGCATGAGGAAGGGATATGGGGAGGAAGGGTCTAACATCAGAGAAAGAGAAGGTTGGAAGAGAAGGTAAAAGAATAGAAAGGAAGAGAGGGAGGAGGAGGGGGAGTGGAAAAGGTAAGAGAAAGAATGAGGGGGAGGGAAGCAAGAGAAAAAAGTTAGGGGTGGAGTACAGAGAAGAGAAGGGAGAGAAAGAGAAGGAAGTGGAGAAGCAGGGAGAAGAGTCTTCAGTAAAATAAAGAGAATGTGGGGAGAGAAGAAAACACAAAGAGAGAGAGAGGAGGAGAGGGAGGAGGGAGAACAGGTGAGAAAGAGGGGAGGAGAAGGAGCAGAGAGGAGGCAGAGGGGAGGAAATAAGAGAAAAGAGGAGTGGGAGAAGGTAAGAAAGGAGTTAGGGGAGGAGCAAGGAGAAGGCAGGAGGTGGAAGGGAGAGGAAGAGGAATGGGTCTGAGGTAAAATAAAGAAAAGGTGGGGAGGAGGTAAGGGAAAGAGAAAGGGAGAAGGAGGAGAGTTAGAAGGAGAGGAGAGGAGAAAGGAGAGGATAGAAGAGGGGAGGTGAGAAAAGAAGTGAGAAAGAGGGGGAGGAAAAGCCATAGGGAGGAGTGGAGGAGATAAAAGAAAGAAAGAGTAGGAAAGAAGTAAGAAAAGTAGGGGGAGAAGCAGAGGGAGTGGGAGTAAGGGAGAGGAATGGAAGGAGGAAGAAGAGTCCCAGGAGGAGGTGGGAGAAGCTTAGAGAAAGAAGGAGGGGGTCAGGGGGTAAGAGAAAGAGATGGGGAGCAAAAGAGGGAGAGAAAGGGAAAGATAGGGGAACAGGAGAAGAGGAACAGGACACAAGGAGAAGAGAGTTGGAAGAGGGAAGGTAAGGAGCAAGAGAAAAGAAGAACAGGGGGAAGGAGGAAAATGGTGGAGGTAAGAAAAAAAGAGCAGTATAGAAAATAAGAGAGGCAGGGGGAGGGAGGAAGAAGAGAAAGAATAGTTCAGGGAAGAGCAGGGAGAAGGGTAAAGGAAAGGAAGGGGTCTGAGGTGTAAGAAAGAGGAGAGGAGAGGAGAAAAATGGTGGCAGATGAGGGAGAGGAGGCAAAAGAAAAAGAAGCAGCATAAAAAAGAGGGAAAGGGAAGGATGGGAGAATGGGAGAAGATGAAGGGGACAAAGAAGGAAGGAAGGAGTAGAGAGCAAGAAGAGGAGAGGTAGGGAGGAAACAAGAGAAAGGACAGAGGGAGAAGATAAGAGAAAGAAGAGGGGGAAGGAGCAGGCCAGAGAGAGGAAGAAGGGAGGGGGAAGAAAAACAGCAGGAAGGAGGAAGAGGAGGGAGAGGAAAGAGAAGAGGAAAGGAGAATGGGGAAGAGGAAGAGGAAGGAAGGGGAAAGAAGGAGGAGATGGATTCACAGAGCCCAACCTCCAATCTCCTCCAACATCTCACTCACCAGCTTCAAAGCATCTGGGGCAGAGAGGCACTGTCTCACCCATCCATCCTCTGTTTTCCTGGCCCAAGGTCCTCTTTGCCCCCACCCTGGAGAGCATGCAGCCTGCAGCAGCCTCCACTGCAGTGACTCATCCACCAATCAGCATCACAGCCAACACTCCCCCCTCCTTCATCCAGGAGAGAAGATAAGGATGTGGAACTGTGGACCCTGGCAGTGTCTCCTAGGCAACCATATTAGAGAGATGAGACTGTAGATAGATGGAAAGGACAGGAGAGGCAAAGACTGAACACGATGATAACAATAACAACTGGCATTTATGGAGCCCCAAGTTTGGCAGAGTACCCTTTCCATACCTGATATCCTTCAACCCTCACAACCACCCCTGAAGCAGGAACTACTGGTATGCTTACCTGCCTCATTTCACAGATGACAACACTGAGGCTCAGAGACCCACCCCAGGTCTCATAACTAGTAAGCCCTGGAGCTGGGATTTGAGCCTAATTCTTTCTGCCTCTGCCAAGCTCAGCACTCAGAGCAGGGAGAGAGGGGATGATTGTCCAACCAAGCAAAGTTGTGAGGACCCAGCTGGCACAGGTGGAAGGATTTGCTTTAGTGAGGAGTCATGAGACAAGCAGGAGAGGGGAGAAAACAGCTGTGGGTACTGAGAAAGTTTGAGGAGTGGAGAAAGGGAATCAAAGAAAGTCCATGTAGGTGTCCTCAGTTTCCTTAGTGAAGGAGGGGGCTAGGTCTACCAGTGAGAGTGTGTGTAGGGTGTGCAGTGCTTTGGTTGAGGGCTTGAGGAGACAGGGGAAAGCTTGGAAGAGTCATCAGGGGAAATGACTGAGGAAATCTGCTATGCAGGCCTCCCCACAATCTGATTGCTCCCCATCTCCCCAGGCATCTCTTAGAGGGTCAGTGCTCATGTACTCAGTACCCTGGCCAAACTCTACCAATGTGACTCCTGTATTCCAGGCCTGGCTGCTTTTAGATTCCCCTCCCTCTCTTACAAAGCAGAAAACTCATACAAAGGGAGGTCTCCATGATTTGTCCAAGAACATACCATTACACTGAAATACAGAAAATGAGTATCACCCAGACAAGAAATTTATTCAGCAAGGTATGTAGTTGGAAAAAATAAATCAGCCCAAGACTCTCATTAGCATAAGAGGCCTTGAACTCTGGTTTCTATATGGTCAATATACAATTTGGAGAGAGAGATAAAGAGGATGACAGATTAAGCCACCTGGTTTCTTATTGGTAGAGGAGACCAGGAGACACTCAGGTGAAGGGTAGAGTAGTATCCTTGTGGTGGGGTGATAGTAGAGAGGGGGAGTTAACTTGTGCCATCTCCAAAACAAGGTGACTTACATGGAGTTGAAACTTAACTTCACAAAATGGTGGTTAAAAAATAAAATGGAGTTGTTTATGCTGTTTTTAATGTAACAATAGAGGCAATACTTAGCAGAGCCCAGGGTTAAGACCAAGTACTCTGTTCAAAATCCACACTCCTCCCTTTGCCTTATACTGACTCTTGTTGACAAAAAGAGAGAAGGGAGCCTCTGTGAGCCTCAGTTTCCTCACCTGTAAAATGAGGTAGGTAGGAATACCAGAAGCTCCTACTTGACAGGGTGGTTGTGGGGGCTTCCATGAGATCAGGTATGAAAAAGACAACTTTACCAAGCTTTACAATTCCAGAAATGTCAGTCCTTACTGTTGTTACCATCTTCAGTCTTTCCCTCTCCAGTCCTTTCCTCCTGTCAGCAGCCTCAAGTGTCCTTTGTTCTTAATAAAGGTGGGGGGGAAGTGAGAGCCATTCCTTCTACCCTGAACCAGCCAAATTCATGGAAAACTTGTCTATGCCTGAGGCCTCTACTTTGCCAATAACCAGGATCTCCTCATCTCTTTGCAATCTGGCTCCCATTCCTATGACCTTGGTGAAACTATTCTCTCCCAAATCTTCAATGACCTCCTAATGGAGAAATCCAAAGATCTTTTTTTCTTCTGGTTTTCAAACAAATATGCGTTAAGTGCCTACTGTATGCCAATAACCTAGTCCTTTTGCTTCTCTCTCCCTTCCCATCGTCAATCTCCCAAGGTCAATCCTCTATTCTATGCCCTCACTACTGCCTGCTCTCACTGCTGCAATAATTGCTTGATAACAGAATGTTCTGTGTCATTATCTCTCTCCTCCAATCTATCCTTCACATTATTGCCAGAATTAGGGTCAGGCATTGTTTGGATCCTGGCACTACTCTGCTCCAAGTCACATAATGATATCTTATTGCCTACTGAGTTAAAGTCCAACCTTTCTGCCTGGCATTCAACCCTACAGCATATGGTCCTTCTCATCTTGATCTCATACACACAGCCTAATCTACATTACAAGAAGATGAAAATGCTCTCCCTGTGCAGTATATTCGCTATGCCTCCCTTCCCCATTAACGACTTCTGGACCCTGGAATCACAGCCATTTGTTAAATTTATCTTATAAAGCCCAAGTAGAATTCTACCTTCTCCAGAAATCTTGCCCTAGTATGCCATCCCCAAAGACCTTACCTCCTGGGATCTCACAGAGGATTCTGTGCCTTTCTTACATCCTTATATTCTGTTATTGTATAGTATAGTTAGTTGTGCATGTCATATCTGCATGGGAAACATGTAAATTTCCTGAGTGAAGTGACCAAAGCTTATCTAAATATTATATCTCTTTGAACTTCTAAAGCCATTCTCTACACAGAGTAGAGTTTCTGTCTGTCTACTAAAATTCTACTGAACTGGAATTTGTACTTCTCTCAAGAGGCAGCCATTGAAGGCTTTTAAGTTACAAGTTTACATCCTTAGAGGTGGTCATTAAGATTAACCTGCCCACAGCACACAGGGGGGAAAAGGGGGATCCTTGGATCACAGATTCAAAGTTGTAAGGGACCCTAGGGGTCAGCTAATCCAGTTCCTTCTTTTCACAAGACAGGAAAATGAGGCCAAGACAGCTGAAGTGAGTCCCTCAAAGTCCCAAGGACATGAAATTCCAGAAGGATTTACTTGGCCTCAAGGCCCAGGTTAAAGCAAGGACTTGGATTCGGAAATTTCAAAGACATAGATATTGGGGGAAACCGATACAAGCAAGACATTTATTATTACTCTATGCTGAGCAAGTTTTTAAAAAAGCACCATAAACACACACACACACACACACACACACACACACACACTACCTGGCAATATAAATAGACAGAGGTAGATCCCTATGTATGCAAGAAACTCACCCAAAGTGAGGGTGACACATGGAACATGCTCCAAGTTGGAGTTCAGGTGTCCAAATGAAGTACCCTAAGGATGGGCTTGGTTGACAGCAGGTGGCAAATGGGGAGGGGCCATTCTTAATCAAATCTAGTCTCATGAAGTTCTCTGGGTCGGTACAGATGCTGGAGGAGTGAGGGGAGATACCTTATCTCAACTCTAACCTGTTGGCAGTGTTTAACCTTAACTGCAGAGACAGAACTTGATCCAGTCACAAGCTCCCAGCTTGTGACCATTATCTGTTTGTGGACATTAGGAGCCTTTAGCCTAGGTGACTTCCTGTAACTAAGACATCAAATAATATAAAATTTATAGTGATCATAATCCACCCTGTTGGCTCCCAAGACCATTTAACTAGCAATAACTGGAGAATGAGTTTCCTTGAGGATGGTGGGCAGAAAAGTTGGCAGAGAAACTTGGTGGTGATAATCCACAGAAATACAGTAAAGACCCTCTCTAGCAGACCAGCAGGTCAGCGGTGCCAACCCGCCCATCCCTCCCCAGATCACAGGACCCAAGAAAACGGATACTCAACAGCACCAGCGTTGAGATTTTCAGAAAGGTCTCCATCCAGTCGTTAGTTTGTTTGGCCTGGTCAAACATCCTTCCCGAGCATTGGCTCTCCCCATTCCTTCAGCAGGCAGCCTGCAATACCACAGCAGAGGGGGCACCACCCTGGTCACCCATGGACCTCTCCAAGCAACCCTTTGCACCATCCCAAGCTCGGACCTGGCCCTAAGCGCGGCCCCCTGCCTCCACGCAGCCCCACCCTGAACTTGGACTTGTCCCTAGGGGCGAACCACCTGGCTGATCGGAGGGTTTCCACTGAGGTCTTAGCCATCCTCATTGCCAGGCTGGGCTGATGCTGATTGGACCCTCCCGCCACCCTCTCGGCCTCGGAGTCCCGTGATGACAGTCAACCGCTCCCCAGCATCCCTTCCATCAGGCAGGCCAGGGTTGGGGTCGTTGCTGCCTCCCTCCGCCCAGTCTGGGCTCCCTACCCAGCGGAGGCTGTGGTTCCCTCCGCTCCGCCCCAAATTAGATCGCAACCCCAGGGCAGAGGTCAGGCCTGGGGCGTGGGGAGAGCCCAGAGACAGTCCGTAGGCCAGGGAGCAGAGTAGACCCAGGGGGCTGGGGAGAAAAAGGGGATAGAGACGAGAGACGAGGAGGGTCCCAAAGTGCCCTTTCCCAGACCCTCGGGGATGGACGTGAGCTCCCCGGACCTTCTACCGGCCGGAGCGGGGCTGGCGCCTAACTGGCCAATTCTCGAACTCACCGGACTCTGCCAGAATTCCGAGAAGTTTGCCTTCTCGGGGCGGGGAAAAACTGTGGGAGGGAAAGCTGCAGAGGCCAGGCTGGCCAGGCCAAGCTCTCAGCATAGTGGTAACCATGGTGACGGGGTGGGCGGGGAAGAGGCTGCGTGCGCAGTGTAGGTCCCTTTGTGTGCTCTAGGTCTGGAAAGGTGAATTCACCAATCCCTCCGCCTCACTTGGTGGCTATGGTAACCGCGGTGCGCGGGGGCGGAGCGAGGGGAAGGCCCAGGCCTGGTGGGACTCTGGGGGCGGGGTTTCGGCTCACCAGTACCAATCTGAACACTTTTAGCTACTATGTCTGTACAGAGTCGCCCTGCAGGAAGAGCTTGTAGCCTGCGCGAGCCCTGGCGCAGGGTGCAAGTCGGCTATGCCCAGGCTCCGGTGGGCTTGGGAAACCCATCACCCCGGAGAGGGGGATTCTCAGCCAGCCCTTGCAGAAGTTCTCCCGGGACAGGTCTGTGCTGCTTCAGCCTCACACAGAGAGCTGGACTGAAATTGATTGTTGATGCCCTCCCCGATTGCAAAAGCAGGCAGGAAATACATCGCAGTCGGGCGCTCTGTAACGGTGGGTGCTCCAGAGGTGCCCCCGCCACCTACTGGTGCCATTAAGCAGAACAGGAGCAGAGGCCAGTTCCTGGCCAGTCCACAGCCTGTGTGGGCACCGTGGGCGTCCCTGCAGGGACCGCTCGCTATCCGTCCTGCCACTCGATGGGATCCTACAGCAACCACGCAATCGAGACTGTGACAGTAGCACCAGGAGCAAAAGAAAAAACAGTTGGCAGGGGAGGCTGGAGGAGAAGGTGTTGGACTGCTTCGAAATGTCCAAGTTAAGTACCACACCTCCCCCTGCCACGCTTCGAGGGCATCAGCTGAGATGAGCCGGGTTGGAGGACTCAGAGGACTTAGAAAGGTCCTTCCCCTCCTCTTTACCCTATCTGATAAAGAAGGATAAAGAATGGTTAGAGTGCTAGCTTAGCATAAAGGACTGGGCTAAAGGAGAAGGTAACCACTTAAGAACGTTCTTTTTGTTATAATAACCATCTTCTGCCTTCCTCTCCTGATAATCCTGCTGTGTAGGAAGCCATCCGCACCCCTATAGCTCTGACACACCATTTATAGACATCAAGAATCAGAGGCATTTTTGTAAGTATAAATGCAACTGGATTTTAATTACCATGTACTAGTCTCCCCGGGCACCTGTACAGAAGACACAAATGTTTCTGATTTTATTTTGTTTTGTTTTTCTCTAAGATGATTCAGAAATGCATTCAAATGTACGAATGTCATTTGCCTGGCAATAAGTTTTGTTTGGTGTTTATTTTTTATTTTTTATTTTTTTATTTACTTGTTTATTTATCTATTTATTTATTTGTTTGTTTGTTTTTAATATAAATTTATTTACCTTTGGTTTACTTCCACAAGATTTTGAGTTCCAAAGTTTCACCCCATCTTGCCCCTCCCCCCCAAGATGGCATGCATTCTGAATATCCCTTTCCCTAGTCTGCCCTCTCTTCTATCTCTCCCCCTCCCTTGTCTTATCCCCTTCCTTTTCTATTTTCCTGTAGGGCAGGATACACTTCTGTACCCCATTTCCTGTATTTCTTATTTCCCGGTTGCATGTGAAAACATTTTTTAAAACATGTTTTTAAAACCTTCGGTTCCAGATTTTCTCCCTTTCTCCCTCCCCACCCACCCTCATTGAAAAGGCAAGCAACTCTATATAGGTTACACATGTGCAGCTTTACAAACTACTTCCATAGTAGACATGTTGTGAAAAACTAACTCTATTTCCCTTAATCCTATCCTGCCCCCCCATTTATTCTATTCTTTCTTTTGACCCTGTCCCTCCTCAGAAGTATTTGCTTCTGATTACCCCCTTTCCCAATCTGCCCTCCTCTCTATCATCCCCCTGCTCTCTTGTCCCCTTCCCCCCTATTTTCCTGTAGGGTAAGACAGATTTCCATACCCAATTGAATGTGTATGTTATTCCCTCCTTAAGCCAAATCCTATGAGAATAAGATTCACTCATTCCCTCTCACCTTCCCCATTTCCCCTCCACTGTAAGAGCCTTTTCTTTTCTTTTTTTTTTGTGAGATAATTTACCCCATTCTACCTCTCCCTTTCTTCTTCTAGTATAATCCTCTCTCATCCCTTAATTTTATTCTCCAGATATGATCTCTTAATCTTCAACTCACCCTGCATTCTCTATCTATCTATCTATCTATCTCTCTATCTATCTATCTATCTATCTATCATACATATAATTTTCCTCAACTACCCTAATACTGACAAAGGTCTCATGAGTTATAAAATCATCTTTCCATGCAGGAATGTAAACAGTTCAACCTTAATAAGTCTTTATGATTTCTCTTTCCTGTTTACCTCTTCATGTTCCACTTGAGTCTGTATTTGAAAGTCAAATTTTCTATTCAGCTCTGGTCTTTTCATCAAGAATGCTTGAGAGTCCTCTATTTCACTGAATGACCATTTTTTCCCCTGAAGGATTATACTCAGCTTTGCTGGGTAGGTGATTCTTGGCTGTAATCCTATCTCCTTTGCCATCTGAAATATTATATTCCATGCCCTGCGGTCCTTTAATGTAGAAGCTGCTAAATCTTGTGTTATCCTGATTGTGTTTCCACATACTTGAATTGTTTCTTCTGGCAGCTTGTAATATTTTCTCCTTGACCTGGGAACTCTGGAATTTGGCTACAATATTCCTAGGAGTTTTCCTTTGGGATCTCTTTCAGGAGGAGATGTGGATTCTTTCAATTTCTATTTTGCCCTCTGGTTCTAAATATCAGGGCAGTTTTCCTTGATAATTTCTTGAAAGATGATGTCTAGGCTCTTTTTTGATCATGGCTTTCAGATAGTCCAATAATTTTTAAATTCTCTCTCCTGGATCTATTTTCCAGGTCAGTTGTTTTTCCAATGAGATATTTCACATTGTTTCTAATTTTTCATTCTTTTGGATTTGTTTTACAGTGTCTTGATTTCTCATAAAGTCACTAGCTTCCAATTGCTCTATTCTAATTTTTAAGGAAGTATTTTCTTCAGTAATCTTTTGGACTTCCTTTTCCATTTGGCCAATTTTTCTTTTTAGGGCATTCTTCTCCTCATTGGCTTTTTGGACCTCTTTTGCCATTTGGGTTAGGCTATTTTTTAAGGTGTTATTTTCTTCAGTATTTTTTGGGTCTCCTTTAGCAAGCTGTTGACTTGTTTTTCATGATTTTCTTGCATCACTCTCATTTCTCTTCCCAGTTTTTCCTCTACTTCTCTTACTCGCTTCTCAAAATCCCTTTTGAGCTCTTCCAGGGCCTGGGACTGATTCATATTTTTCTTGGAGGCTTTGGATGTAGGAGCTTTGACTTTGTTGTCTTCTTCTGGTTGTATATTTTGATCTTCTTTGTCACCAAAGTAAGATAATATAGTCTGACTCTTTTTGTGCTGCTTACTCATGATCCCGGCCAATTACTTGAGTTTTAAACTCTTTGTTAAGGTAAGAGTCTGCTTCCAATGTGGAGAATGTACTGTTCCAAGCTTCAGGGGTTTGTGTGGCTGTTTTCAGAGATACTTGTAGGGACCTGTAAATTTTCAGTTCTTGCAAGGTGGTATGATAAGGGGCGAGGTGTTTACTCCTTTCCTGGCCTGTGCTCTGGGTCTATTAGTGACTACAAGCACTCCTTTCTGTCCTGGAACTGTGAGGAGGGCTTTCTCTGCAAAGCCACTACAAGCTCCACCAGGCCAGCACTCCTCCTCACCCCAGGACTGCCTCTCAGAACTGTGACCCGATCCAAGCACAGCAAAGCAAGAGATCCCCACTTCAGCACTGACAAAGCGATCCCTGCAGTCCCCCTCTGATCAGCCACTGGATTCCCCCTCAGTCTGTGGGCTGGAAGCTCAGGATACAGCCACCACCCCAGGGCCCGCGCTCTGCGCTCTGCTCTCTGGAACTGGCTTTGAAACCTAACTCCTCTCTCCTGGCAGAAACAGACTTTTCCCACTAACCATCTGAGTTGTCTTTGGCGTTTGTGGGTGGGGAGTCTGGAATCTGCCACAGCTGCTGGTGATTCAGTCCTCTGAGGCCTGCTCCAGGCTCACTGTGGCCTGCGCGCCCACACCACACTGAGCTCCTCTCCCAGTTTGGTGAGATATACCTTTCTGATCAATCATCCATGTTGTCTTGGGCTGGAAATTTGCTTCACTCTGCCTTTTTGTGGGTTCTGCTGCTTTAGAATTTGTTTAGAGCCACTTTTTATAGGTATTTGGAGGGATTTGGGGGAGAGCTCACGCAAGTCACTGCTTTCACTCTGCCATCTTGGCTCCCGATTGTGTCTATGTTTTAAATCCATAGTATTAGGTTAGTATTATGCTGTATTTCTCCCATTATGATTTTGGAAAGTGTCATATAGGAAATACCACTAATTTGAGAAAATGATACCTAGACTGAAATGTCTTTATTGGAGGTTGGCCCCTGTTTTGTTCTGAATGCTGTGATTATTCCATTGTAGTTCCAGGTTTTCCTTAATGTGCACAGGGGAAAGCTCTGGTTTGTACACTTGGGGAGGGCTGTTAAATGTTTTATGTGGTTCTGCTCCTACCTCCATCAGTAACCTTTCCTCCTTTAAGGTTAACTAAATTTATCTCTACCACCTAATCAAACTCCAGTTATCTGTGGTCTACAGCCCTGCCCCCAACTAGGTCACACCTTCCTAGCTTAGTTCAGTTTATTATCTGATTCACAATCTTGCTGTCCTCCCCAACTCCTGCCCTTATAGTAGGGGACTTAAATACACACGTGCACATATATACATATGCATACATATATAAATGTATGCACATTTATCTGTATATATGCATATATATATATATATATATTTATGTGTATATGTGCATATATGTGCATATTTTTGTGTGTATATATGCATATGTATCCATATATATGTATATGTGTGTGTGTGCGTGTGTATGTCTCAAACACCCTGACCACTCTATTCCTGAACATACTCACTTTCCATGACCTACTTCTCCACCCGACCTCAGCCAT